CAAACCATGGACAGTATGTTCGCTCCTCAATATTGAAGAGACATCATTCACATCAATGTGGGCCGCGCTGACCTCCACAAGCGAACGCTCAAGCCGAAGATTAATCTCCCTTACACACCTGTTAATCCATGGCTTGTCATGTCGCCAGAGAAGACCAACAAACCTCACATTGGTGTGACTAGTTTTCTGGGCAATGTCACTTAAATCTTTCTCAATTTGATAATTGAGGTTTCTCTCCAAACTGTTACCTGGCCCCCCAACTATAACTACCTGATCTTCTTTACTAAAACCTTTGCACAATTTTCCAATGTCCCAGTGACATTGCTCAGATCAGCATTGGGCTTGAATATGCTGGTCACAGCATATGCATCTCCCATTGCTTTCTGTAGCCTCTGCCCGATACCCCTACCATGACTGCTACCCAGCACTAGAATTTTATGCTTAGGCTTAGCCTCTAACACAGGCTGATCTATAGTGTCACCATCAGTCTGAGGCCCTAGCATAACTAGAGGTTCAAATCGATTGGTTAAAGCAAACTTAACATCTAGTGAAGATGGACTTAATAAAGAGTTATATATAATAATACAACAATATATTAAATGAAAATTATTAGAAAATGACTAATGTTGGTTTTTTAAACCATATTATCAATATTTTGAATCGTTCTAACATTTTATTAAAAGTAAAAACAAAACAAAAAAAAATTTTGGGAAAAATGTAAGGTTGTGTGTGAAGTTGCAGAAGATATTGTAACATGGATGGACAGCATATTGCTAAGTAACTGACCGTTAAAGGTCACGCCATAGTTCAAGTGGTTAGTCGCTGGCTTCCCACTGTGGCGGCTTGGGTTTGATCCCGGGTCTGGTCAAGTGGGATTTGTGGTGGACAAAGTTACGCTGGGGCGAGTTTTCTCTGAGTACTTCCGTTTCCCCTGCCAATCTTTATTCCACCAAATTCTCCATCTCATAATCACCTGGGGCAGGCTACAATAGGCCAATCAGTGGCCACCATGCCGAGTGGACCCAGTTGGACTCCACCCCCCCCCACTAAGCAAATTAAAAAAAAAATTAAATTTAACTGACTGTTAAACACCTTGCAATGGATTACACACAAGGCAACAATAGGAGTACAGCGTTTTCTATGCGGTCAGCACCGTGGGTGTCGCTATGCAATCGCTCGGCAAATACATTCCAACAGTATAGGCTATTGGAATGGTCAGTGCAGATGCTATATAATGACAGTTAAAGACAGAACAGATTTCAGAGTATTTCAGACTGTTTGAATGTTTAAATGACACTAAGAATGACAGCAACAGGAAGTGCATAGAACTGTGAAGATTTAAAGTGCGAGGTAAAGAATGTATTTATTCTGGGCGTGTGTGATCCAGTGAGACTGTTATAGTTTGTGTGTTGAGATACAGTACCCATAGAGGACTAGTGTATGCGTTCAACAGTGAATTATGAGGTGTGGGAAAAATCAGCGAAAGCACTGTATTTTAAGTGTATTAAGAGAGTATGTAACCAAGTACTAATAAATCCAGTCATCCAAACTAGAACCTGTCATTTCGGCATGCGTACCCATCCTGCATGTGACAGTATTATTCATTAGTTCCTTATATAATTTGGCATCGTTTTATCACATTTATTAATTCCAGTAATCTGACTTGCAGGCCTGTTGCTGATGGATGAGAATGTGTTGGTTGTGGTTGTCATGGGCCTGATGTTTTATCAGCTTATAAAGACTGATCATTCACTCCAGTAGTGCAGGTGTCACTGGTTCTAGATTACAATATTAATACATTTGAAATGTTTCATTTTACTACATAGCACATACTTATAATCTGTGGGCATTATATCATGCATGTTGTTCTTGATGAAGATACAGACTTCACCTGTATAGTGTACTGTTGTTAACAACGATGTATACATGCAATCCAAACTTCACTAATGGAATTATCCGCCCAGAGAATGTACTCAGACTGACTACCTTCCAGAACCTTCTTAGAGTGACATCCCATGGTATAAATCATAACCTAAAAATAAACTCCTACTATGAATGAGCAAGAGCAAAGTTTGCCAGATATTTATCGAACTAATAGTGAAGCCCAGCAGTTGTAGTGGAGGAAGTCATCAGTGTAATTTCTTTTTAAGTAAATTCAGTGTATTGAAATCTAGATGTGGAACCTGCATTTCATTACCTTTGAAATAAAACCAAAATTTTGCTGTAGGTCAGTTAGGTCCAGAGTTAAAATATTCTACAAGCTGTGCTGTACCAAATATTATCTTAATAGTAAATATGTGTTTCACTAGCGCACTGAATTTCACTGAAATCTGAAGGGAAGAAATTGAAGATATTTCCCTTGTGTTCTTCCAAAAAATGCAGAAATTATGTTGAACACGCTGTGGGAATTATTGTTGTAGAAGCATCAGGCTTTGGTAAATACAATATTATATTTAAGCATCCTGTTGCACTCCATACGATAANTGCCTTTGGTAAATACATGTTTTCCTCATGATGTACTCCATCATTGTTACTGGAACACAGTGGTAATTGTTTCTTTTGCATTAATTATTACAGAAAATACCTTCGTGATTCTGAAAGAGAGCAGTTGTGTCGTCAAGCTTTGACACTAGCATTGCAAGCATTACGAGCAAAACTCCGTGATGGACCCATAACAAGTGGACTGGTATTGGAGATGTACAGGGCATACCTTCGCGTCCAAAGGCATCTACCACAGAAGGAATCCGTCTTTGCATCACTGCTGTCTGAAGCATATAAGCAGCATGCAAAGGTTTGTCTTATAAAAAAACATTTAAAATGAACGAGTCAGTCTTTTGTCCATTGCATAAAATTTCTGAATAAGTCAGCTGCACAGAAATTTATCCTGGTTGCTACATTTTTATATATGTGTTACCTTTTATAGCAGAAAATTATACTTGTTCTAAATTCTGTAGCAGTACAATGCAATTGAATGTGTCAAGTTGGATAAATGTAATGTTAACTGGGACATATGAATTTTATGGAATCTAATATCAGTTTGGAGAAAACTATCATATAACATTCTCACTGAATTCAGTATACCCATGAAGTTAGTCATGCTCATTAGAATATATTTAAACAAGACATATAGTGCAGTCCATGTAGATAAAACATGTCTGTTTATTTCCTAGTCAGAATATTCTGGGACAGAAAGATGTTTTACTGTCATGAAATTTATAGTGTATGTCAGTAGAAGGGCTAGAAACATTAGAAGCCACCGATATGAACCTGCTATTATTATTATTATTTTTTTTTTTTTCCATTTTAACTGGTGTAACTCTTAAATTTCCTGCATTATTTGCCAATTACTACTCCATTATCCTTTTCCATCCAAGAATAAGAGTTTAAAATCTCCCTGCCTCTTCTCAGTTGGCGGTCATATTTTAAATTGGTTGTAACACTTTGTCATCTAGGAATGAGGTATTTTTATTCTTGTGAGTCTGTTGTAACAGTTGGGGCATGCGATAGCATTGAGTCTGCATTCTACAAGCCAGAAGGTCACAGGTTCGATTCCTTATGACGATAATGGATTTTTTGGTTGACTTAATTCTTCCATCTGCACTATAGCTGTGGGGTCGGCTCAGCCTCTAACAGACATGAGTACCAGAGATCTTCCTAGGGGTAAAGAGTGGCTGGTGCATAAGGCTGACAGCCTCACCACCATCTGTGAACCAATTGTCTGTAAAATGTGGGATCCTCGACATCTGACAACCCTACAGGCTTCCACAGCCTGCTACAGTGATAGCTTTTTACCGTGGTACCAGTTACTGAACTTACACCACAGTTCTAAGAATCCAGCTGAGTTTGGTACCTCTCACCTGAAGACAGGAGTAGTTCCATTGTGTTCTGGTTCAGAGCTTCCCGCGGTGGACAAAGCCCTGAAAAGTAGTAGTACAAAGTGTAGTATACCATCATAAGAACCCTTTAAAATGGCTTTAGTTGCCCAGATCAGTGTTCATGTGATGTGTACCAGGTGGAGACAGCAGTGTTGGACCAGGCCATACGTTTCTGCCAGCAAGAGTTAATAGCCAGTCGAGCTGCGGCCCATCCCTCCAACGCAACTCCAGCACCTACTACTCTGAGCCAGGTGGACCATCATTTGAAAAATTCATTCACAAAAAGTTACATGCTACTCCCAATTTGTTTTTCATTGCTTTAAATTTAGAGCTAGCATTTTTATAAAATTTATATTTTCTTTGATGTAAGAAAATGTCTTTATGATCCATATAATATGTAGTGGAGCTGTTTCTTGAAGACTTTTTTTATGCCATCACACTGCCTGAAATTCAGTTTGTCCATTTCTGTGTACGTAGTATTGTGTGTGTTACTAGGTGTTTGTTTTTTTCTTCAGCCTGTCATCACTATGCCTCCAACCACTACCGGAGCCAGTACCATTGTGTCTGCACATCAGCAACGAAAGGCAGTAACACCAGCTGTGAAACCAGCAGTTGCCTCAAATCATTCATCCATACAACCACCACCTCGTTGTCGTGGTCGACCTCCAAACGTTTCCCATGTCAGTGGAACTAACACTCCCCTCAGTTCAAAATCTCAGTCTCCAAGTTCTCGTAATATACAGAAGGTGCCTCCTCAGCCTTTGGGGTCCATAATACCTGCAAATTTGTCAGCGCCCACATTGCCCTACTATCCCTTTCACACTCTTTTCTCTGATCCATCTCTTATTACTGCAGCTGTCCAATCAAAATTGCCTGCTATGTTAGATCCACAAGTTGCTGCTCTTAATTTCTTGAACCTGCATTCTCATATAGGTGGATATCAAGCAGAATTTCTTCGTCATTTTTCAACTAGTACAGGTGAGGTATCTGCACCTATAATTCCAAACATTCCTACAAGCCAGACACAGAAATCACATGGAACAGCCAGATCTAATAACAGCAGTTTTGTGGGAACTAAAGGAATCCAAAATCTTCCCATGCAGCAGCCTACACAGCCTTCCTCTACTTCTCTTCCTGCTAGTATATCCATCACCCCTCTGCTATCGACTCAAGCATCTGTTCCTTGCAGTGCCAGTACTTCAACTGCACCATCAACAAAATACAGCAGCAGTAAGACCAATAAGTCAACACCTTCACTGCAGCAGAAACTTCAAGCATCACAGGCTTTAGCTAAGTCTACTTGCAGCCGTTCTTCTGTTCCAAATTCTTCGTCTTCGGTACCCAAGCCGAATTCCCAGATATCTACATCAGTAACTCAGTTGCCTTTGACAGTGACTACTTCATCCTATACACCCCCTAAAGATCAAGCTTTCTTCAGTTCCCAGCAACCAAAATCATCCTCTAATCCTAATCAGTACTTGTCCCTGCTCAAAGGTGGTGAAGGAATGTTGACAGCTGGAGTGTCCATCAGTCAAGTCACTGCCACACCTGTGAACACTACAACAACCACAAAGTCAGCCTCGAAGCTTGCAACCTTTCGTAAACATTCCGCATCTTCGTTACAGGATCAGTCAAGTGTGTCTAAAGATGTCACAAATATATCACCTTCTTTCAAAGGGAGTCATAGTGACAGTCTGAAAACACAAAGCAGATCTGATTGTAGCTTAGTTACTAAAAGTCATGATGTTGCCTTGAGGACTGCGACGACATTAGGATCCAGAAATCAGAACAGTGGATGTAAATTGCCAATTACTTCTGCTAGTGGTCCTTCCATTTTGAGTGGCCAGACTCAGATGATTCCTATATCCAGAAGTCAGAGCAGTGCAATTGGACAAGACAGTTCTGTTTATAAAGAAATTCAAGCACCTCCAAAAAGCTCAAATCATTTTATGCAAAGGGGGCAAATGAATGAATCAACAGTTAACAAAACTAAGAGTCCTGAAACCAAGGACCTAAATCCTTCCAGCATTTATAAGAGCCAAAGTGGAAGTAAGGGCTCCAGAAGTCCTGGATCACTGAGAAACATTGGGCATGAGGTTACAGTCACACCATCTTTGTCACACTCTGCCAGTGCGACAGCTGCCATTTCTATGTTGAGCCATCTTCAGCAGCAAAACACTGAATTGGAATTAGTCACAAAATCAAAATCAGCAACATTAGACTTGCCTGTCGCCATTCCTTCTTCAATAACCATCACACCGAAACAACAAGGTAGTCCAGATGCAACCTTCAGCAGAGGGCAGCAAGGGAAACAGAGTTCAGCTGGAGGGGATAGTTTTCGACCTAGTAAAAACAAATTTAAGGACACCATTTCCATAACAGAAGTAGGCAGGAAGGTCTCAAGTGGAAGTCCAGGAGCAAAAAGGATGGGAGCAGCCAGTGCAATTAGACAAGATAGACAAAAAGAAGAGAAACAGGATGATAAACATGGGTGTGCAGCTGGAGACAGTGTTGAAATAATTACACTGGAGTAGATCCTGAAGACAAAATAATATGTGTATGTGTATGTGTGTGTGTGTATGTGTATGTAACTGTATTTTCACGTGTACTTATTCATGACATGATTTTAAATTATTCCATAGTCCACACCAATGAAATCAGACTCTGTCTCCCTTAGTACAATGATTTAAAACTTTTCATTGTATTGTATTGTATTTTATAAGTAGTTTGTATTATAAATAGAATCATTCTGTTGCACCTGCTCTGCTGGTTCGCTCACGGATTTCTTCTTGTCTTCTACACTGAAGATGGAGGCGATACGTTCTTCCGAAACATCAGTTAACACAATTTCTACACGGCACCACATCCCAGAAGACGGCTTTCTTCATAGTCACTGCCGTGAAAACCTCAAATCTTACATAGAATCATTCTTGTTTTGGAAGATTCAAGTTCCAGTCATATGATTGTGTCATTCACGCTTGTTCAAGGCTTGTCAGCTCTGAAACAGGCTTCAGGTTTATTCAGAAGGAAGGCCAAAGGAATACTGCAATAAATACATAAATCTTTGTCACATGTTTATAATTTAAAGATTGGGGCATAGCATGGTTGTGAGTGCCAGGTAGCCCAGCACCAGAAATTTCAGATGTAAATCCTAACCTGCATAATTTTGTAGTACTTGGGTTTTTGTTTCTGGAGAGTAATATGTGTCACTGGGTTTCAAGACTCAACTGCATAGGATGTTGAGAGTTTGCATTTGCCATATTTAGGATTATTGACTTGGGAAATGCTTTGATATCTCATATTGGATGGTGTGATTTTGATGAAGCCATTATTGTATAAGGAGGGGATGCTTATCAAGACAGTCTGACCGTATGGTGAGAGTAAAGGGGAGATGAATATGTTTAAGTCTTCTCAGGCGGTTAGCTGTGTCAGTGCTGAACTAAAAACCAACATTTCAGAAATCTCATCAGTCTCCATCATCAGGATTGATGGCAGCTCTGAAATGCTGTTGTGTACGAGTGTAAGGTACTGGTGATGTGTACGCATGACTAGTACCGAAACACTTCAACACTTGAACAAGGTACCACTGCACAGCTGCAAAGCTTCGCAGTCATCAGCACTTAACATAACCGACATTGCAATGTTGTAACATAATATAAGTCTAATGTTAAGGGGACTCATATCCCAGATGTTCTGAATTGTTAAGGTTTTAAGATTCTGCATATGTGAATTGCAGAGTTTTCTTTTAATATGGTATACCCCTTGATGATGGTCGTGTATGACCAAGATATGTTGGGGGCCCTGTTACATATGCCTATTTAGGCAGTAAAGAAGATATAGTTTGATGGCATATACATATTCCGTGCCCCCCTCACACTGACAGACACTGAGTATACTCATGTTATTTGAATTTTTATATCTGTGAAGAATATAAAATGATGTAGTAGACCATTTTCTTCAGGCAAATTTAAGACAGTAAAAAGAGAACAGTAGTAGCTTGGGTGTATTTGTTAAAAAATGTGCTTAGTGCATATCTCAGTGCTTGAAAAATATTGAGGTGATAGAGTTAAACTGAAAAGCGTTCTGTTTTGTGCCAGATTATATCATGTAAATGATTGGCATCCATGTGAAGAGAATTCTAGATATTGTTTCTATGTAATTACTCAGTTCATTTTTCAAAGATATTGAAGTCTACTCCCTACTCTTGTCGGTGTGTACAGTAGACATTGCTGTTAAAGCGGAGTTGAAGTATTAAAATAGAGTTTTGGGATGCAGTTCAAATCCTCGTTCCCTGTCTCTCTTTTAGTTGTAGGAGTATACTTATAATATTGTCATGTGTTCAAGTAAAAATAGATGGATTTTGGATTGATAACTGGATTTATTGGACACTTACACACCTGATCACTACATTTCACAGATCACTGTCACGGTCAGTCTAGTGTCCTTAGTCATGTTGCTTGGTAGCGGCTTCCAACAGTGTAGCATCCTTGGCTTTTGTCCTCGCTGGCTGGCACCTTTCAGCTGGAGCTTCCAGCTTCTTTTCTGATTAAATTATTTTGGCTTCCAGGGGACATGTCACCATATATTGCGACAGGACAAAGAAAGCTGTCTTATTCCAGGCAAGGAATATGTGTGTCTTATAGTAAAATATAAAATCCAGATCTTATACATTTTGCTACTTTTTAACTGAATAAAAATTTGGAAGTGAAGTGATAAAATTGAAGGTATTAACATTAATTTTTTTTTAATTCACTTAGTGGGGGGTGGAGTCCAACTGGGTCCACTTGGCACAGCGGTCACTGATTGGCCTATTGTAGCCTGCTCTGGGTGATTATGATGATAGAGAATTTGGTGGAATGCAGATTGGCAGGGGAAACTGAAGTACTCAAGAGGGAACCCACCCCAGCCCCACTTTGTCCACCACAAATCCCACTCGATCGAACCCAGGCCGCCATGGTGGGAAGCCAGGTACTAACTGCTTGAGTTATGGCACAGCCAATTAATTTTGCAGGAAAATTCCCTTATGAATATTTTAAGTTCTTCCTCCCCCCTCCCAGAAAACAACCATTTTGTGTTGTCATAACTAAAATATTATTAAAGTACTTACAATGAAAGTTGTGCTAGAGACCATTTTAACATTACAAAAGAAATCAATCCACTAATTAATTCATAATTTTCTCTTTCTTTTAACCAAAATAAGATAAGATGATTTGTGCCAGATGAAAAACAGTTTTCCTTGCTAGTAGACTTCACAGAATTATATCAAGCATCTTTTATATCTTTATTTTGCAATAAGAAAACACTTTGATTAATTATTGAATAGCAACAAAACAACAAACAGTGGTTGTAAAAATGCCACATAGCAAAGTTATTAATGCTGTGCAGCTGTGCGTATCTGAGCAAATTCACATACTGATAAGCAACAATATTCTTCCACATTATTATTACCTCATTTGCCTGCACGTTTGACGCCATCTTATCGTCGTCGTTGTACCCTTATGTTGAGCGTCACGGTCTAACTGCCCACACCGTTGATCTACGTTGGTTTTTGGCCGCTGGCTGCTGGACTGCTAGGGGCAACGGCAGCTACAGCTTCCTTTACCCTGTTTCACTTATCCTACTTTCACATCTCTACCCTTTAGGGGGATGGGTTTGGTTTGGGCGCCAGTAAACTGCTACCATCAGTTTACAGATTTATGGGAGGTGTGAAGGATGGATAAGGGAGTAGCTGTCATGGGTAGCTAGTTCTGCCGGTAGAGCTGAGATTCGGTCCTAAGGCTGTTTGGCAGGGTCTCACTCAGGAAGGGAAGTGGGAACTCCTGTTACAATACACACACGCTTTGTTCCACCAGACACTTTATTAAACTCTTGTCCATAGTGAACCCCACTAACGCACTACATTAAAATGGTGTCCGCTGGGTTTCCGATCTTGAACCAGACTCCTTCCAATGACTTCTCTTTTCGAATTTTCGTCCTAATAGTTTTCGATCTAGAGTAAGACTCCTTGCAGAATTTGCATCCGAATGGTTTGGGATTTTGAATAAGACTCCTAGAATGCCTTCTCCTCGCAACCCTCGGAGTCGCCTCGGTCCACAAGTCAACTCCAGAAATTACGAGGATTGGTCATTTTCAAAAAATGGGAGTACACTAATTAAGTATTTCCCCAATTCGTTTATGCCTTACAGGGAATTTAGGCGCTAAATTCTTAACTTAAAATCTGTCAGTAGCTTGACAAATGTTACGCTTGGCTTGGAGTTGGGAGACCAGCCATCTTTTGTGTTATGGGTTCAAACTGTCACTTATTGTGTTCTCCAAGGATTCAGACGAGTAAAATTTTGTGTGACTTTCTAAAGAACCAAGCTGCCGGGGGTCTTCCTCTTTCGTTCCGCATCTGCCTTGACCAGTCATCTTTTTTTTTTTCTTTCATTGGAGAGTTTGGGCTAAAACTCCTCCTTGAGGGGAAGAAATAGTCTGCGTCCCTCTCGTGCGTTTATTGTAGGTTATAAGTAAATCTAAACGAACAGGTTAATTTACCCGGATCCAAACATTCTACCAAATTAAATCGAGCTGGGGTAGGCAGATCAGTTACATTATGAATGATCATCTAAATAGTTTTGACATGTTTGACTGTTGCAAAACAAATCATGGGATATTGGTTTCTGTACCTCATTTTCATAATGATTAGAAATGTCTTAGCTTCAGACAATATATCGTCTGTCTCTGACAGCATATCTTCTTCAGTTTCCAATATCCTAGTCATCTCCTACCAGTACCTCCTCATCAGTATCCATGTTCTCCTGTCAGTTTATGATACTGAAAGCTTTGTCACAGCACTATGTTCACCTGTGCCATTTAACACATGGCCCACAGGTTTTGTGGACAGTGCCAGTTTAGATTTTAGTCTCATACACAACTGTTGTTTTGAGAGCTGAGTAACAGTGATCTTCTTTCCAAATTCGTTACGGGAAGTATCAGGACGTTTTCCATGAAGGACTGATCTGGTTAGTGGATTTGTTATGAGATGTCTGTGCTCTGGGCTGGACTAGATCCTGCTGTATTAAATAATGTGCTTCAACTTTCACCACAGATGCAGATCAGGATGTGAAACTTTCTTCTGAAGTACATGCACACGGTTGTCATAGCCCGACACAACCATATTTGTCGGTCTTTGAATAGAATGTGCTGTTCAGTTTCAACAGATATCAGTGTACATTACTGATGATACTTCCAGACACTTTTCAACAATACCCGCAGAATCTTTTCATGAGTTAGAAGTAACTTGAGTAAGAATGGGCCTCGTGAACAGAACCTGCATCGTCTGTATTCTTCCTGTTTAACTGCCATATTCTTCGCTTACCTGTTGTTTCAGACTTTATTTCATAGTTTTGCTGAGAACAGTCTTCATTTTGATTTGAGCCAGACTCCTGGATATTGTTGCCATCGTCTGTACATCTAAGGAAGTTTCTGAGGCATACAATCACAAACTGTCGACTTCTTTCTTGCCGTACTAGAGGTGGAATTATTTTCAACTAGAGTTCTTTTCTGCCCAGATTTGAGCAAGTCTTAATTACAAAATGTCCCAACTCTTACGTGTTCTGCTGAAGTATCACAACTATTTGTTGAATTGACATTTCTGTTGAACATATTCTTAATTTTATTGCCATGAAAAACTGTATGTTCTTTAAAATTATAATCTGACTGTGGCTTTTCCTGCCTAGCCTGAAACTCTGAAATGACGCTCTAATTTTTGCAACTGAATTCACTGTTACCCCTGATGTTTCTTCTGTATCCTTATAGTGGTCGCTGTTATGGCGCGAAGGG